CTGTGTCCTGTGATGTGTACAAGCAAGAGGGGTCTTGGGTAACCGCTGAGCCCAGCGTATCTGTAAGAACAGGTCAGATGCTCACTCAACTTGGGCTGTTTACAGGGAAGTGGTTTCCACAGTTCGAGGAGGTGAAATGTCAGTGTCACTCCAGAATCATGCCTCCCTCGAGGGCCCCTTCTCGCTAGACTTCTGCCATCATAGTTTCCCTCCAGAGCAGGGGAAACTTCTGTCGTATTCCACAGCTGTTCTAACCCCGCAGAGGTGAATAAACAAAGATGCCACAACTCCCGGACAATACAACCCAAATGATTCTACCCCGGCCTGGTTGGGCTGGGCTAATGGGCACTGAGGGGTAGAGCCAACCTTCCAAACTCCGCTCCTTCCAGAGATAATCCTCAGGAGCCAAAATACACTAGTCAAATGGCATTAAGGTGTGCCAGGTGCGGGAGCTAAGCATCACTAACCTGAAAATGCTCTTAGCCTTTGACCAAGAAAGTCTGTGCCTAAGAATTTATCTCCTACCTAGAGAAATTCGCCCCTGGGGAGAAGTCATATGCATACACATGCTTAATCTCCAGTACGTTTAAATCAACTTAGAACTGGAGGTAATTTAAATCATCTATCATTGAGAAAAATTCGGTAGCATTTATAAATGGGTTTGATGACATGAGACATGTTTACACTGTGATAATATATTTGAAAACCCCAAAATGCAAATGAGCAAATTTTAAGCAAGACCCACCCAGCCAGGCTCTGGAGATGGGGTGAATCTTACACAATCTTTCTTTGTAAACTCCTAGGCTGAAGGTGGGCCCCATCTGTGCGTTCCCTGCTGAAGGATTCCCCCGTGTTCCTCAATATGTGCAATCTACACAAGTGACTCATTATTTTAAGTTCTCTCACTTCCCCCATCGTCTGCTAGAGGGGTGGGTGGTGTTGGTGACAGACTGCCTCTCACCCTGCTGCAAGCGTTCCAGAGTGGGCGTGTCGCTCCATTTTCTGGTGGTTACCTTGATGCCATAAAGAGTAGTAATGCCTGTTTAGTCCCATATTTGGACGATAGTCCATATAGGGAAACAGGAAGAACACAAGGCAACACCTCCAAGACAAAGAGTCCCCAATGCCTGACCTTTTCTAATCTACAGAGCAAAAGAGAAGAAATACACACCATACACAAAATACCAATGCCCTTCACATGCCAACAAAAAAAAAATCAACAATAGCTCCCACCTTAGTCTATGCTACATCCCTCCCTAAAAACAGAAACCTGTATTTCCTTTGGGATAACACACTTCCTTGTGTTTCTCCAACTTGAACTGATATGAAATTATGTAGACGTACGTTCTTTGATTAACCTAAGCAAACAACAAAATTCATCACAAGCAATTGGTTAGGAAGTCAAATTTAAAAGAATCTGAAGGGTTTTTTTGTTTTTGTTTTTGTCTTTGTTTGTTTGTTTGTTTGTTTTAACTTCCCAACAGTAACACATTCTTCTCTGAACACAAACAAAACAAAAAAGGATTCATGGACCTGTGGCAGGTCCTGGCAGTCTTCCTGCAAACACATCTAAGGGAGATGTGATTCTAGGTGGGCTGCTGCATCTGGGATACCTGGGGCCAAAGCCCATTTTGTACCTGACAGTCAAGGTTCACTAGCTCAAGCCTCTTTGGTTTAGGTTGGATTAGCTTCCTCCTTGGCACAGCTAACAAACACCCTGAGAAACGCAGAGCACTCTACCATATAGAAATATGGTCCGGCTGTATAGGTACTGAGCTAACCTATTGCACTCCTGGAGCCAAACTTTGGGCAGAGTACAGGGAGTCTTGTGGAGGAAGCAGGGAATAAAAGGATTCTGAGGAGACAGGAGATCCACTAGGAGACCAACATAGCCAAAAAACATCTAGACCCAGGGGGCCTGCAGAGACTGATGCATCAACCAAGGACCATTTATAGAGAGGACATAGACCCCCTGCTCAGATGTAGCCCATAGGCACCTCAGTCTTCAAGTGAGTCCGTTAATACGGGGAGCAGGGGCTGCCTCTGTCCACAAGTCAGCTGCCTGCTCCTTGATTAGTTTCCCCCTGGCTGGTTGGCCTTAACAGGCTACAGAGGAAGAAGGTTTAGGCAGTCCTGATGAGACTTGATAGGCTAAGGTCAGATAGTAGGGGAGGAGGAAGCCCCCTTTTCAGTGGACTAAAGGAATTGGATGGGAGGAGGAGGGGGAGAAAGGATGGGGCAGGGAGGAGATGAGGGAAAGGGCTACAATAGGGATACAAAGTGAATAAATTGTAAATAATAATAATAATTTTAAAAAATAAAAATTAAAAAAAGAAAGAAATATGGCCCTGGCTGAAGTACACAATGGTCTGAATAGAAAATGGTTTGTAGCCGGGTGCCATGGCGCACGCCTGTAATCTCAGCACCCGGGGAGGCAGAGGCAGGTGGATCACTGTGAGTTTGAGATCAGCCTGGTCTACAGAGCAAGTCCAGGACAGCCAAGGCTACACAGAGAAACCCTGTCTTGAAAAACCAAAAAGGAAGGAAGGAAGGAAGGAAGGAAGGAAGGAAGGAAGGAAGGAAGGAAGGAAGGAAAGAAGGAAGGAAGGAAGGAAGGAAGGAAGGAAAAAAGAAAATAGTTTCTAAATTCTAGTGTGCAGCAGGCTGCCCCAGAGGCTTGTGAAAACACAGCTTAATGGGCCCACTGCTTGGAAAGGCTTAAATTGTGGTACTAGTTCCTAGGTGATGGGCATCCAGCAGTCCAGGCACCACCTTTCTGAGAACCACCATTGTCTAGCCAATCTGCTTTGGGCTCTTTTCTTCTATTCAGATGGAGATAATAGATATTCAAGCCCCTTTGTGTCAGCAAGGCTCAGCCTGGTCTTTGAGAGCAAAGCCCCAGCACCTGGTTAGAACTGATGTTTATAGCTCTGTCAGTCACCTTGGGGAGCTGCTCTTTCTCAACCCTCCGCCACCACAGCCCTTAGCCTCCTGCAGTCTGTTTTCTGAGGATGTTCTCTGTTCTCTGTGGTCTCTCAGAACTTCTGCCACTGTTTGAAGACTTGGCTTCAAGGTACTGCTTTGGCTGCCTCCTAGGGCTGGCAGCCCTACGCCTGTCTGTGTTTTGTGTCACCAGTACAGCCCACTTCATCAGTGATAAAAGACCATAAAGCTACCAATAAAACTGCTCGGATGAGACTATTGGGGCTTTAGTTGCAAGATATCTTGGGGTCTCTTGGCCTAGCCTAAAGAGAAGTGTGAGGGAAGTTGTTTGTTTAACCAGCCCCACGGATGGATAGTCTTCTGTCTGCTAACCACAAACTTTTCGCTTAATTCCTCCTCTACCCCCCAGTTTGTACAGTTGTCCCGGGCCTGTCCACTCCAGCTGGCCTGAACACAAGTTTCTCCCCTTTCTACTGAGGGCATCTTAAAGATGGACAGAGGCATTTAGAACAGCTACGGGCAGTGTCATCCGAAGCTATTGGGCTACTGGAGACAAGCTGATACCTTCTGGGGCTATCTCAGGGTATCCGGAATGACGGTGACTGAAACAAAGGAGGTCAGAGGACAATTCGAAGGGGTTGGTTCTGTACTTCCAGCACTTCCTGGGGCTCAGATTCAGGTCAGGAAGCTTGGTGGCATCTTGCTAGCCCTGGTAGTGGTTCTCAACGGACTGCTGACTCTGCCGGACCTGGTTCCGTCGCCTGATTGGGCAGTTGCTGCAGGGCAGTAGAATTAATAAGATAATCCGAAAGTAGAAGTTGAGTTTGGCAACTCAGTTGGATCTTTCATGCTCTGATCTTGGCCAAGTTGCTTACGCTTTCTGAGCCCCGGTTGACTCTTCTGTCAGTCGGGGATGGTTCATCGTGCACCCTGAGGTATATGAACGCAGGTGCTTTAGTCTGCTCTACATCACTGGGACAAAATAACCGAGACTCAGCTCAAAGGAAGGGAGGGTTATCTGGGCTCATGACTTCTGAAGTTGGCCAGGGCACCTTCAGCCTGGTGGTATGGCCTCTCCTCATGGCAGAAGCATGTGGAGAAAGACTGCTTGTTAGTGGCAGCTGAGAAATAGGTCTTGCTTCTACCACAGAAATGTCACCTGACTCCCCATATCCATATGGCTTCATACAATTCATGAGGTCAGAGCCCTCATGAACTGATCATTTCCCTCTCAACCCTGCTGTCCTGGGGACCAATCCTTTGATGCATAAGCTTTTGGGGGACATTTGGCATAGGGGTATACAGCTTTAGTCTCAGCATTCAAGAGGCAAAGGCACGCAGATCTCTGAATTTCAGGCCAGACAGGGCTACAGAGAAAGACTATGTCTCAAAACAAAAACAAAAGCCAAGATCAAATGGACAATGCCTTAAAAAAAAAAAAATTACCGAATTTAAAGTAACGCTCAAAATTGTGCTTAGGAAGGCTTGAGTCACAGTACGCGTGACTAATACTCCATTTGATATTTGTTTAAATGGTGACTTTTTCTAGCCAGGTTCATTATGAGTTGATTTACAAAATTGGCCACCATCTCAGTGACCATACTTCCAGGAAGAAATGGAGCGACTCTGTGAAAGCCCACCCATTCCCACTTACCCACTCCTTATCACCCCCCAAACTTCTATTTCACATCTTCCTACTCTTTGCTGATATCCCTCTTAATCAGTAACTTTGTCTTTGCAGAAAAAGAAAAAATAATGATAAAATAAAACTCAACACCAGCTACTTATTAAGGGTATATTTATTATTTCTCTGGTAGAGACAAAGCATCCATTGTATTTTTGTCAGTTTATGACTTTGTCGTCTTGCCTACCAAGAATATTCTGTTAACAGCCACTTAGCTGTCACACAGTGTGAGCAAGGAGGGGGAGGGGTGTCAAAGGAAGTACCCTGAGGTCTTTCAGAAAGGTCACAGACACAAGTGTGGCAATAAAATAAATTACAAAATTAAATAATATTAAATTAACAGTACTAAATTAAATTAAATTTAAATTCCGGTTAAGAATCCCTGGGTGTAACTACTTGGCAGCAAACAGCTTATAGGAGATGAAGCTATGGAGGTGGCAGGAATGTTCCGGGGCTCAGGTCCCTGTTCCACATAGGACCCACGGAGGTTTTGGGGTTCCTTGATGACTCCAAGCCTCTCAGGCATTCAGCTCCAGATCAGTGATGTATTCTTGAACCCAGGTCTCTCTGGGGTCAGTGCAGATCTGCCGGTTTCTCTTGGTCAGGAAACTGTAGAGAGAGGTGAGGGTCAAGAAACTGGGGGAGTCCGATGTCCCTTGTAGCTTCTCCATCCACCAGTCTGTGGTGATGCTCTCCAGAGCCTCTCTCACTGGTCCCTTATGCTTCCCTGTTGTGCTTCCTCCCCACCCGACCCCCATGGCCGAGAATCCCTCTCTCACTTTTTTCTACACCTCACAGAACTTACATGACACCTGGCTCGGAGCAGAGACTGCTGGTCTCAAAGTAGTCAGCGATGAATTTGCGTTGAATCTGCCGGCTGTAGGAGAAGCAGCAGGCTGTCGGGGTGTCAGTACCGTCTGCAGGGGAAGAGACAGAATGAGCTCAAGTCATCATTGAGCAGCACAGGACGGTCAGCACAACCTAAGGGGCGAGGAAGGCTGCCTTACTTGGGGTAAGAGTTGGAAGGCTCAGGCTCTGGGGGAATTTGGGCATCTCGGACCAGAAATGCCCCATGTCTACCTTTCTTTCTATCTCTGTTCTTTCTGCGTCTTCACTATGGGCTTTCTCTTTGTGTGTTGCCCCATGTCTTTTTCACAACTTTCTCTGACACAAGAAGTCAGCAAAAAAGACATTAGGGCAGAGGGCACCGCTTAAGGCATCCCGGAGACAGAGCTGCCCAGGAATCCTAAGGCTGCCTGACCTGGGTAACTCTAAAAGACACTTCCACTTCATAGAAAGGAAGACAAAAGCCTTAAAAGAGAAAGATCAGTTTCCTCTCGCTTGTAGACCCTGAAGCCACAGAAAACACTGCAGTGAGTGGGGATGCCTGCCGTAACAGTGTGGACTCACAGGGCGCCGAGAAGACTTGGTTGCAGAGGGTCATGGCGCAGAGAAGGACAGCAAGGGTGGCGGTTGAGACCTTCATGCTGCTGAGCAGGTGATAGAGCTGAGAAGGGAAAGGTACTCGCTGCCACTTGTGCCCTGCTGGTGCCTGAAGCCATGTGCCCCTTCTCTTTATAGATGGTAAAGGAGGAAATGGAATCTGGGGGTGAGGAGGGAAATTTTTACACACAGCAATGGGGTCATGTTGAATATTACACAACCCAGAGTCCCCAGTGACCACAGGGACTCAGGATATCCAAGAATAGCATCTCTGAGATGTTAAGTCTCAGCTCTCAACTCGTGACCTATTCTTCTTGTGGGGAAACAGTTTCTCTCAGGAGCAGGAGGAGCTAGGACAAAGTCAACCCAGGGCTATTCTTAGCTGGTCCCTTCTCATAAACACTGTTCTGTGAGCGAACGCTCCAGCCCTGTTCCTTGCCACGGAAAGGAAACTCTTGTTATTTCTCAGCTTCTCTAACCACATGGATGGCATAGCTGTGGATGGCAACATAACAGCCCCTCCTTCCACCACCATGAGGGACTGAGTTGGTGCATTCCTGGCTAGAGCAGTAGGGAACATGGGGTCACTTGTCCAAGAATCAGCCACGGAGTGACTAGGTCACTGGGTTAAGCATTAGTTATGTATCATAAAGACACTTCAAGTGTGGGTGTCAGTATGTGAGAAACCTAAAAATGTCAGTGCCCATTAAGATAGAAAAAGCCTTTTTAGGAAAGAGTTTTGTGGAAACAACCCAAATATGAATCCATCTTTAAACACAGAGATAGCTGGTCCGGTGTCATTATAACTCTGAACTGAGGAAACCGAACTTTTCATTATGAAAGAACTATAAATTAAAGTACAGTGTATATGTTGGATCACTTATTTATGAAGCTCTTGAAAATTGATAAAAATTATGTAAATATACTCATAACGTCAGTGGTAAATAAAATATCAAGAAAAACTGTACAACTTTTCCAAAGTGAAGAATTCTACAAATATCTAGGGATATGCACAGATTTGCACCCCAAACCCAGGCATTATAAATAGATAGTACTGGAATTTTTAAAAAATCACTAGAAATAAAAGCTTTAAAGAGTTAATAATAATACATTGTTTGATGGGCCTGCAGGCGATTAATTTTCTTATATTTTGAGATTTTTTCTTATTTTATTTGGTGAGCGATTACCTTCCTGTCCACTCGAATCCTCATGAACTCGTTTAGTTAAAAGCATTTCAGGTATCACAGTTTAAAAGTGAGCTGTTATCAAATGTTTTAATTTTAATTGCTTTTCATTTCAGTTTTTTGAAGGCAAGGTCTCACTACGTAGTCAAAATTATGATCCTTCTGCCTCAGGCGCTAGAGTGCCAGGATTACATGCCTGAAAGAAGGTGTGTGTGTGTGTGTGTGTGTGTGTGTGTGTGTGTGTGTGTGTGTGGTCGACTGTATGTGTGAGTGTATATGCATGCATGAGTGTGTGTGTGCATGTTTGGTCTGTGTGTGTGTGTGAGTGTGTATGCATGTATGTGCATGTGGAGGCCAGGAATCATCCCCCCCATCAGTCTTCCATGTAATTCATTAAGGCAGGGTCTCTTAATCAAATTCAGAGCTCACTAATGCGGTTGGTCTGCCAAATTATCCCCAGTCTCTGCCTTCTAGACTAGAATTAAGAGGAAGACTGTGGTGATGCAATATTATGATTAAAAATATGTCTCACACATTCTAAGAATCTAGAACTTTTGCTGGATCTCACACCCAGAATCAATAATACACCTTGGGATCATGTAAGACTTAAGAGTACTATCCTACTGTGTACTCAGCTGTTTGTTTAACCTGTGTTTAAACAATGTAACAGTCTACCATATTTGCCTTGGATTTCCCATATGATCAACTTCTGCAACTTAAGCAAATACGTTGCTTTAATCTTAAATCATGTACTCTTTATGCCTTTGACCCAGAACAACACATGTGTATTATTTGCTGAAAGCAGCAAATACAGAGATTGGGCGCACCCTTCTAAAATGAAAACCCGTTTATGGATATTGGTTGGTAAGCAATGATGCTTGTAGAACTGTTTCTTGTCCGGGTCAGTTGGGATCAGCTGGAGCCAGTGGCTTAATCCAACCCTGTTAAAGATGTCTATAATGTATGTCTTTCCTTCCTCGGGTGATGTTGTCTGTGCTATTCAATAAATACAGAGCAAAGCCAGCCACATAACTGACATAGTCACACAACATTCACATGAGGGACAGAGACACAGAGATATAGACAGACACACTTGCAGAGACAGACAAACACAGTCACACACAGATACAGAAGTAGAGACAGATTCACAGGCTAGCCTTCAGACAGACAAATTCAGGCTCATGTAACAGACAAAGGACAGAAGACACAGGGAGTGTAAAGGAGAGAATTTAAATCTAGACTCGCTCTTGGTTAAATATCTGCAAGGGGAAGCACATGTCTTTCTGTCCTTGATGTGATGCTGATGCATTATTGGTGACTTGAAGCTATCACTAACACGTTTAATCCCATGCACCAGGCCACCAGGCCTGGGAACTGGGAGTCTGGACTCTGGTCCTCGTGCTTTCAGAGCAAGAACTTTGACCCCTGAACCATCTCTCTAGTCCTTGAAAAAAGTTTTGGTAGATGTACTCAAGTTTTTGTCCAACTGCAGTCTTGATTCTTTACTGAGACAAGTGGCTGTGTTCTTTTTTAGTGGCTTTTATCTTCAGATCTCACAGTGTAGCAGGGACAGATAAGTAAGTGAATAAGGACCACAGAATGTGGCAGGAAGTGCTAAGGGAAGAAGAAATTGAGTTCCCAGAGCTCAGAGGATAGAGGAGTGACCTTCAACAGAAGGAATCAGGAGGCTTCATTGAAGGGCTGCAACTTTGATAAGGTCTTAAAAGCATACAGTCAAGAAAACTTCTCCTTTCAACAAAGCCATCACAGAAACCACAACTCATCAAAATGCAGAGTCGTGGTGCCCTGAAACTACTACACCCAGGACCCAGGGATCATTGCTTAAGATGGGACGGAAAGATTGTAAGAGCCAAAGGAACAGGAAGTCTGCTGTGATGCTGTGCCTCCTAGAAATATCAGAGAGGCTACACCAATGAAGCCTCACCACCACGGCTGCCTGAGCATGACTGAACAAGGATGACACCAATAGATAAGCTAACATGGAAGAGGGAAAACTTCGGAGGCCTCAACCAAGACAAAAAAAAAAAAAAACAAAAAACAACTATAGGCAGCTAAGGAATGCTG